ATTTATATATGAACAAAGTTCGAATAAACATATTTTTTTATTTTATAAATTAAAAAATTGATATGATTGTTATTATTATATAAGAATCTTATAGAAAAGAAGAATAAATAAAGAAATAATTTTGCTCTTTTTTTGCTATTTTTAGCCGCCAAAAATAATTTTTTTTTGCTCAACACCCTTCCAAGATACCAGGATGCCGCTAGCTTGCTGGCAACTCAGTGGTCAACTTAGATAAATTCATTTAATTTAAAATTTCCATTGGACCATATTTTTTTAGTTTTTTTTTTTTTGCTTTCAAATGGCACCACAGTTGATTTTCTAAAATTAAAAATGGCGGATCTAATATGGCAGACTTTTCTTTAAGTCTATCAAATTCTCTTAAAAATTGTTACTCAGGGGTTTTTGGGGTCGTTGAATACGAATCTGATGTCACTTTTCAAAAATTTAAAAAGGAGGAACCAAAATAGAGGATTAATTTTTAAAAACGTCCAGATTTGATAATAAATAGTTACTCGGGGAATTATGGGTTCGCTAATTACGAGGTTTTTTGGGTCGTAATAAGTGACACTCCAAATTCCTGACTAACAAATTTCAAGCAAATCTGTTAAAGAGGAAAAAAACAGCCATTTTTCTTAACAATTCGAAATTAATTTGAATATTTTTGCTTATTTCGATTATTAATTTTAAACTATTTTCTTAAAAACTTAGAACCAATTTGGATTTTTTTGCTTTTCGATTTTCATTTGAATATATTTTCTTAACAACTTAGAAACATTTTGAATTTTTTTTGCTCTTTGTTTTTTTAATGAAAACTATTTTTTTAACAACTTAGAAAAATTTTGGATTTTCTCCTCTTCGGTTTTTAATTTTTAAAGTATTTTCTTAACAACTTAGAAACATTCTGGATTTTTTTGCTCTTCGGTTTATAATTTAAAACTATTTTTTTAACAACTTAGAATCATTTTGAATTTTTGTGCTCTTTGTTTTTTTAATTAAAAATATTTTTTTAACAACTTAGAAACATTTTGAATTTTTTTGCTCCTTGGGTTTTTAATTTTAAACATTTTTTATAATAACTTAGAAATATTTGGATTTTTTTGCTCTTTGTTTTTTAATTTAAAACTATTTTTCTGAAAACTGAAAAACATTGGGATTTTTTTGCTTTTCGTTTTTTTATTTTTAACTATATTTCTAACAACTTAGAAACAATTTAGACTTTTTTGATCTTTGTTTTTTAACTTAAAACTATTTGCATTTTCCGAGCATTTTCCGAGCAGGTGTTAGAGAGATAATTTTTAAATAAAAAAGAGATGGGCAAAAAAAATCCAAAATACATTCAACTTGTTAAAAGAGTAATTTTAATTAAAAAACCGAACAACGAAAACCAAAATACTTTCAAGTTTTTAAAAAAAATAACGAAAAGCAAAAAAATCCAAAATGTTTCTAAGTTGTTAAAAAAATTATTTTAATTAAAAAAACGAAGAGCAAAAAAATTCCAAATGTTTCTTAGTTGTAAGAAAAGTAGTTTTAAATTACAAAGCGAAGAGCAAAAAAATCCTAATTGGTTCTAAGTTTTTAAGAAAATAGTTTAAAATTAAAAACCGAAATAAGCAAAAATATTCAAATTAATTTCGAATTGTTAAGAAAGATGGCGGTTTTTATCCTCTTTAACAGATTTGTTTGAAATTTGTTACACTGAAAGAAATTTCATAGGAAAAAATAACAAAATGCGTATTACATTTTAATATATTCTTTTAGAATTTAGGGAAAAGTGTACTTTTTATTAAAATTCAATATACTTTATATTAAAGTTCCAACTTAAAATCTTTTTTCAAATATTAATAATTATTGTAGAAAGAACGTAAAAAGATTACCAATATTTGAAAATATTATATTAAATTCTCATAGAGTTGTTGCATTATATGGAATGTAGCGTTCTAATATTTGTAAAACTTTATACGAAAAATTCAGAATGTCGGAAGAAAAGGGAAAAAAAGCGGAAACTGTCGGACGTTTCCGTTAATTCTCGGGAGGAAAAGGAGTGAGACTAGGAACAACACATTCACACTTATGATACAGGTTAATACACATACTAATGAACACGCACGTTCATTTCGCTTATACATAGACATTACACGATCGCAACGAAACCTACACTTACAATTCTATACGCATAACGATAAATTTCGCTGGGGGTCGGCATATATCGTTTTCTTATATACTAACTACTGAATATTTTTACCACTTGCGAGAAAGAAGTTTACTTATAATAACTTAATAATAAAAAATAGTTTACTAGTGCCAATGGTGTAATTTTATAGAGGTTACACTGGGTTCATTTTTATTATTAATTGTTTATATAGATTTTTCTTTTTTTTTCAGATTAAAAATTATGATTGTTATAAAAATTTTTATTGCAAATAAAAATTAAATAATTGTAAAGATGACATCAAAAAATAAAAATTAATAAAAATAATAATAAATTTAATAATTAATAATAAATTTATTATTATTAAATAACTTTAATAAAACATTTTTTATAAATTGAAAATAAATTTAAATTAAAAAGAATTTAAAACACTATAAACATTTGAAACACGTGTGTTGACAGTTGATAGGTACGTTCTGCTGGTTAACAACACTTTCGAAAATCGGATCAAGTCGTAGAAGTTCGAGTAGGACACGAAGCCGCAAACAGACAGAACTTCGGTTAAATTCGTAGTCTCTCGGGAAAATCCGTGACTTTTAATATAAAGTTTTACAAAATGTGAAATAAGTATACGGATATATGTTATTTTTCTTACTATTTTGTGAAATTATTTATTATAATATTTTGTATTCTGTGAATTCATAAAGAAAATACTAATTTTTAAAATAAATATACTAATTCTTATTTCTTAAAATAATAGTTACTCTTAAATTCATTATATATTTTCATAAAAACTGTAATAGTAATCAGTATAGGTGCACTTTTTCCCTAAATTGTAACATTTATATTAAACTCTAATATGAGTTTAATACTTAGTAGTATGAATTTTCTTTCAGTGTAGTCATATTAGCCATATTAGATCCGCCATTTTTAATTTTAGAAAATCAACTGTGGTGCCATTTGAAACCAAAAAAAAAAACCAAAAAAATATGGTCCAATGGAAATTTTAAATTAAATGAATTTATCTGAGTTGACCACTGAGTTGCCAGCAAGCTAGCGGCATTCTGGTATCTTGGAAGGGTGTTGAGCAAAAAAAAATTATTTTTTGCGGCTAAAAATAGCAAAAAAAGAGCAAAATTATTTCTTCATTTATTCTTCTTTTCTGTAAGATTCTTATATAATAATAACAATCATATCAATTTTTCAATTTAAAAAATAAAAAAATATGTTTATTCGCACTTTGTTTATATATAAATTATATAAGAAATAATTAGCTTTTTCTTTATTATAATCGACATTAATTTTTTAAAATCCTTTATTTAATTTTAAGTATATAAAAAAATTTTTTACGTTTATTCAATTTAATTTACCAATAAATACCTAGTAATAACAATAATAATAAAAAATCAATTTTTTTGGATACCTAAATAATTTAATTATATTATGTCACACAACTATTATTATAATTATTTTACAATTATTATTACCGGATAAAAAAAGAACAAGTATTTTGAATAATGATAATAATAATAATTATTATTATTTTTAAAATAATAATAAATAAATAATAAATTATTAAATTAAATTATAGTAGTAAAATAAAACTAAAACATAAAACCTCTGAATAAAAGAGAATAAGATGAACAACAGGAAAAAATGAATGCATGATAAAAAATTTTTAATTCGGTTCCAAACACTTTATATATACTGATGCACATCGTATCAGCACCTGTGATAGCTGTATGAACCTTGACAAAGGAAATCAGTTTATATGTCAATAAAATTTTCTCAATATTTGATGATAAACAGCTTTTAGTTACCTAATTACCACACAAAATGCATTATTCATTACTGTAATTAATTTTATCATTTTGATACATGCATTTTTTTGTTATTTTTGTTTGTTTGTTTATTAATAAATGAGTCTTAATGAGTTTATAATTAATTATATCTCATAATGTAACTTTTTTTAACAATAAAAATAAAGCATCGAAATAAACACATAAAGTGATTTATTTTTTTTTCAAAATATTTTATTTAATTTTATTAATTATATATAGAGAAATAAAAAAATTATGATGTCTTAACTAGAAAATAGATTATATACTTTTTAAATGTTTAAAAAAATATCGTATAGTATCGATTTTAATTTAAGTGTAAAAAAATTTTTTATTAATAAATTAAAAGAAGAAAGTTTTTTTTAAAAATTCCAATCTAGAGAGTGAAGTTTTGGAAAAATTGCTGAAATGTATTTGATAACTTTTATACTTTACGGTTTTTGAGGTCGCTAATGACAAATATGAACTTAGTTTTCAAAAATCCTAAATGGCATATCCTAATATGGCAGCTGATTTGAATTTGATGTTGAATATTCAAAATTCAAAATGTCGGATCCAAAATGTCGGACGATTTTTCAAAACTCGATGAGATGTGCTTTAATATATAATATCTTTTTACTATAGAATATTTTTGGGATGTATAATTATTATTAAAATAAATTTGTTTATGGTAAAACTTTTATTTAAATTTATTTAAATTGCGTAGTCTTATTTATAATAAAATAATTATATATTTTTAATAATAATTCTTAAAATATTATTTTTTAATTACATATGGATTGTTACACCTGTTCTGTTTTGACGCACATGTGATTCCTTCAAATATAAAAATTAAATTCCTATTGATCAAAGAAGAATAAAATTTCCATTAAAATCTTATAAACAATTATGTATTTGATCCTTATATTTTTAGTACAATTATCATTGACATTGACGTGTAACATATGACCAGAATTTGAGATGGCCATTGCTAATAATCACCGACAGATTGCAAATGAAGTAAGGGGTCAACAGGTCAGGATGATAGTATTAAAATTTTAGTATAAAAGGTGCCGATGCATCGAGACAAAGCATACTCCACTTGGTATCAACCATGAGGTTCAGTGTAGTATTTTTGGCCCTTCTGGCCCTCGCAGCTGCTGTTCCCCAAGTTCCCCATCCACGTGCCGGTAAGACATTTTCAACTCTTTTTATAATTCTAATTAAACTTTTCATTTTCAAATAAAAATTTTCACTTTATTAAATTTTCAAAATTTTCCCTAATTTTCATTTCCCTTTCAAACACTTTTCTGAATATATTCTATATATAATATTTGACTAATATTTGTGAAAATTCAAATAATTATAAGATTTTAGTTTTGAAATTATAAATAAATTTTTTCTTTTCAGCTGATCAAACTCTCCTTCAAAGACAACAGGATGTCATCTATCTGTTAGAAAACTTAACCGGCGAAATCCCCAATGATCACCTCCGCGGAATTGGACACACCTATGACATTGAAGGAAACCTCCAGGCCTATGAGAATCCCAACTTGGTGAAATATCTCGCTACTGCTGTTCGTACTGGAAATGTTCAGCCAAAGCGTACCGTATTCTCCCCAACTGTGTCTGCTCTCCGCCAGGAAGTCATCCTATTGACAAGAATCTTCCTTGGTGCCAAGGATTACACCACATTCCTCCACACTGCTGCCTGGGCTCGCGTTCACTTGAACGAGGGTCAATTCGTCAAGGTAATTAGAAATTACATTATCCACATAACCAATACATAATCTGTACAAAATCGGTAACATAATTTTACTAATGGAACTCCCTGAACTGTTGAAATAGGCTTTCATCATCGCTGTTCTCCAACGTCATGACACCCAAGGCGTCACCATCCCACCAACCTACGAAATCCTCCCTCACTACTTCTTTGACGCTAGAGTTATCCAAGAAGTCGAGAACATTAAATCCCACGGTGTCAGACACACTACTGGTGGTCAACAGGTCCATTACATTCCAATCAACTACACCTCCCACTTGCCAGCTGGAGAACACCATATTGCCCACTTCACTGAAGATATTGGTCTCAACAACTACTACGAATACTTGCAACATGCTGCCTACATGCTACCTGAACTCGTAAGTTAGGCTTAAATCACTCCCCAACAATGGATATTTCAGTATAATCGGTACCTTCCGAAAAATTAGCATATCCCGATGTTGTTAGAAATAAACAAATTTTAGTTTAGTTTTACAATTAGTTAACCTAATATTTCTTTCAGCTCCACGAACACAAACAAGGATCCGGAGTCTTCGGACACCACAACTACGAGCGTGACGACCAAGTTGGATACGGTGCACGTTGGTACTACCTTCATCAACAACTCTTGGCTCACTACAATCTCGAACGTCTTGGACAAGGTCTTGGCCCAGTTGAAGATTTACACTACCATCACTTAGACATCCCACACAAACCCCATCTCAAGTACATCAATGGTCTTGAATTCTCTGGACGTCCAAGTGGACCAATTGACGTTACCCACATCCGTCACCAACTCTATCAATATGTTCACACTTTGGAAAAGAGAATCTTCGAAGCCATCGACGCTGGACACGTCATCACTCCACATGGAGAATTCCTCTCTCTCTACCAACCACAGGGATACAACATTCTTGGTGACCTCATCCAAGGAACCGGCAGGAGCATCAATCCAAGATACTACGGCAGTTTCGTCGAAGCATCCAAGGTCCTTCTTGGAGGAACTCCACAATTCGATAACATTTGGGAATACACACCATCATCATTGGAAATCTCCTCCACCACTGTTCGTGATCCAGCTTTCTACAATCTCTTGAGACACATCATTGGAATCTTCCGTCACTATCAAGAATCTCTCCCAGCCTACCAATACAATGACGTCGTCTTACCAGGAGTCCAAGTACAGAAAGTTGATTTCAGCCATTTGATCACATACTTCCAGGACTATATTGTCAATCTCAACAACGCTGGAGTTGAAGGTGTCTACGAGAAGGAACAAAAGGAACACCAGAAAGGAACTTTGGACATCAAGGGTCTTTTGAAGAGACTCGATCATCAACCATACGAATACCAAATCTACGTTCAGAGTCAAAAACCCGTTCCCCACGCTGTTGTTCGTGTCTACCTTGGACCCAAATTCGACCACGAGGGATCACCAATTGACATCAATACCCACAGACATCACTTTGTTGAATTGGACCAATTCGTCTACGATCGTAATTATTTTCTATTATTTTTCTCAATATCTCCTCTAAATATTTTTTTTCTAAAACTAATTTAAATTTTCAGTCGTTGAGGGACAAAACGTCATCACCAGAAACTCCCACCAATCCTCCATCCACAGCACTGATGTTCCATCAGTTGATGAGATCCTTCATCATGTTGAAAATGCCGCTCATGCCCAAAGCCCACACTACTTGATTGAACCACAACAAGTTTATGGATTCCCAGCCAGGCTCGCTTTACCCAAGGGTACATACGGTGGTTTCCCACTTCAAGTATTCGTTGTCGTCTCTGCTGGAGCTCATCAACATCACTATGGACCAATCATTCCTGACCATGTCAACTCATATCACAGCCACTCCTATCAACCCGTCAGCGTTGGCGAATACGAACAAATCACTCAACAACCCGCCAAGACCGGAGAAGGTTACACCATGGTCGAAGTTGTTCCTGATGTAGAGGAATTAGGCACTGGCATCAACCAAGGTTAGTTTCAATTGAATAACCTTCACTGATATTTTAGAATATTGTACTGACGTCCTAGGGATATCCGGTACCATCCGGAAATTAGGATGTTCTAATTTCCAGGAACCGTTAGATATCTGGATACTGTTAGGGATGTTAGTCTGATCCCAATGGTTTAGGTTGTTTATAGCAAAAATCCAGTACCTTTCAGAAATTAGGATACCCTAATTTCCAGAAGCTGAATATTTGTATGCTGTTAGGAATATTAGCTTGATCACAATGGTTTTAGTTTGTAATTAATCAATAGCCATAAAGTTAATGTAAAATTATTCCTCAGGCAAATGGCACTGGACCCAATTGTACAACAAATACCACGGATACTACCAACAACCACAATGGCATCATCAACACGTTGAACATCATCAACGCCAATACCCAACTGTTGGAGGAGGCTATCACTATGGACAACAAGGAGCTCGCGTAGAACATCAACAACAACAACAAGGACAAGTTCACCACGGAGTTGGACAAACAGGACAAACCGGTTATGAAGGTGGCAAATATCAAAGCATCTACCAAACTCACTTACACAGCGGAAGCGGTGTTGGACACGAGGGACAAGGTTACCCACAAGGACAGACATACACCCATGGACAGACATACGCTCAAGGTTATGGATATGGACATGGTCACACCTATGGACAAGGACACACCTTTGGACAAGGACAAACATACCAACACGGTCAAGGACATGGACACGGATTCTATGGTGGTGCTTATCCAACAGGAATCTGGGGATACGTCTCTGGAATCACTGGCCAGGAACCCCATGACGAATTCCTCCAGAAATATCATCATGGACATCACATCTCTGAAGTGATCGGTGGTGCCATCTCTCTTGATGGAAGACCATTGGGATGGCCATTCGATAGACAATTGGGAGTCAGCGTTTGGCATGCACCCAACATTCATGTGACTGACGTCTTCGTCTATCATCATGATGTTCCAGTTTCCCACGTTGTCGAGGGCCATCATCATTAAAATTGTTTAGGGATTTTAAAAGAAAATATCAATTTTTAATTGTAATCTTGATTGTAAATTAGTTATTTTTTCTGACATGGTATAAATAAATTGCTGTTAAATATAATTCTGTTGTTTCAATATTTTACTTTTCCTCATTTTTTGCACTAGTGGAAAAATTTCTCAGTCACAAACAAATTATTATTATAAAATTAAATAGTTATAAATAAATTAAAATCAATTCTTTTTTTTGTTTTTAAGAGCGTTTATACTTGGGAATGGAGACCTCAAAAAAAAAAAAAAATTTATTTTACATTTAAAAAATTAATATACTTCAGCGGATATTAATAATAACAATGACATTTCAAATGATTTTCTTGAACCATTATTTAAATTGAAGAGGATTTAGAATTTTTGGCATTAAGGTCTTTGAAATAATAAGAACAAAAAAATGTTTTTGTTTATTATTTCAAGGACCCTAATGCCAAAAATTCTAAACCATCTTCAATTTAATAATAACACAGGTCTACAAGGAGTTTCTTTTTGTTGAGATATCAGAGTGGTTTCCAATGTATTTTTATGTACTGAACACGTACAACCCGGGATTCCAAAATTGCGTATATCATGTCAGGATTTTAAGTACAATGGGGTTAAAGTCTCCAAAAACCGTGTTTTTGAGGGTTTTTTATATTTTTTTTCTTCTTAACCTGACGTGATAGAGACTTTTATATATAGATTTACATTAAAGCTCATATCTTACACTAAAAGACTAATATGAGCAAGATAAAAAAAAATTGAAATTTTGAAAAAAAATTAGGTTTAAGTCACCCAAAAAGTTTATTGGAATCTTGACGAACACTTTTTTCAAAATTTTGTATTCTTTTTGATTTTTTATTGAAATTTATACATTTACATGGTAAAGACCATAAAAAAAACATCCAAAATTGAAGGTTAAAATTTTTTTTAAAAATTAAAAATTACGAAAAAATTGTTTCTTCATGTTGGGACTCGGCTAAAAAATTTTGTAATAGAAAGTTGCTGTTTTTATAAAAAAAAAATAATAATTTGAAATAGGGGCATTGGGGGTCAAAAATTTAAAAATAAGGAAAAATTTTGAAAAAAATGTTTTCTTTTTAAAACTTATTTTGGCATTGAAAAGTACATAAAAATTTTTTTTAAAGTGAAAAAAGGAAGAATCCTTCTTCACGCAAAAGTAAAAGAGAAAAACATACACTCAAGTTTTTTTTTTTAACAAATAATTTATTAACAAATCTAAAGTTTTAGGTGCTTGAGGTGTTAGAAATAAAACATCGAAAAATGATGCAAGTCTTTCGATTTTCGCAAAAATTCTTAAAAACTTTCTGTTGATGATATAAGATAGATAGTCTCATTCTCCAGTCATCATCTCCATGAATTCTAAAAGAGAAGTAAATATTATATTACCTATATTATGTTAATAAAATTTTTAATAAAAAAGTTAGGTATAATCTTTTTTTTTTATATCTGAGGTAAAGAATTTTTTTCTGTATCAAAATAAATAAGAACCCAATCGAATCTTCTTCAAATAAAGAGTATTTTTCTCAACTTAACATACTAGAATAAAATTTAACTAATAGAAAAAAAATTGGTCAAATATTAGTAAAGAAATAAAAAATAAAATGCTTTACTAATACTAACCATCAAAATCAACAGTTCCAGAACCATCAGTATCAATTTCAGCGATAATTCCATCAAGATCCGAACTTGTAAGTTTATCATCGAGGGCAGCTAGAATTTCTTTAAGAGTGGCAGTTGTAATGTAACCATTTCCTTCTCTGTCATAAAGACGAAAAGCTTCTTTAAGTTCCTCTTGCATTGCTTCAGCGTCTTCTTCTTCAAGGAATCGACCAGCGATCCTGCAGAATCCATCGAAATTCACTTTTCCCGTACGATCAGGATCATTCTCTTCGATTATTGTATTTAATTCGGAATCGTCAAACAATTGACCCATGGTATTCAAAATTGTTGAGATCTTTAAGGTGTCAATGAAACCACTCTTTGTTGTGTCAAACATTTGAAATGCTTTACGCATCACAGCCATTTTTTGTTCGTCTTCTTCCTTTGAAAAGAAAAATTTTTTTCTTCTCAAATCAAAAATCATATTTATTCCATTTCTTCTTGATGTATAATAAAAAAATGTTTTAAAGGACAAACGGAATGGACATTCAAATAAAAAAATTGGACTATAATTTTATATTTTGTTGCTATTATGTTAAAAAGTAAAGTTATAATTAAATTGTAAATACCTTCTCATATGATAATACACTGTAAAAAAAAGGAGTTGAATTTTAACTCCACAGGGGATGCTATAAAAGTCCCACACATTGGGGAGTTAAAGCAAAGGGAGTTCAGATTAGGGAGTTCAACTTTAACTCCTTACACGAGTTGGAGAATATGATCCAATGATAAAATAACTAAAAAGGGAGTTGATACTGAACTCCCTAACTTAAACTCCCTTCCACTCTTGGTTAACTCCTTTTTCGAGTTAATTTTTAACTTGAAAAATCGAACTCCCAACTCCTAGTGCTGTTAACTCCCTAAATTTTTTACAGTGTAAGAATGTAAAATTGTTTATGCAAATAATTTTATTTTTACCACTTTAAAAAATTAAAATTTATTTCTTATTTTCAATTATTTTTAAACTTTATCCAATGCAACTTTTAATGGTTCAAAAATGTCAAAAATAAAATTAATTTCACTTTCATTGAAACACTTTTTAATTATAAATTACTTTTTAACCAATTTTTGACCGAAAAACTTTATAAGATTATATTTTATGTGATTATATAATATTATACTTGATTTTTCAATAACATGTAATTCAATAATATTTTACGATTTTTTTTCAAAATATTCGAAAATTTGTTTGACAAAATCAATGCAGGATTGTATGAAAATATAAAAAATCTATGCAATTAAATTAGGGTCAGTTGGGGTAAATGGGGGACAAAAACGCTATTTTTTACAAATCACGTATAAGTTTCTTCCTTTAAAAGGTAATATTTGCGGGTTTATATTTTTTTAAGTTGTTATTTACGTTCCCAGGATTAATTTTATGCATCAGAAAAAAATTTAAATAAGCTTTAAATGCATGAAACTGACTGTCCCCATTTACCCCAAAATTTAGAAAATTTCATAAAATTTGGGGTAAATGGGGACAGCATAGTTTCTAAGAAAGTTTTAAGAAAAAAGTTTCCTTAAGAGCATTTGAACCTTCGTGACGTCACAAATCATGGCGCATTTTCTAATAATTTAATATTTTGAGATTTAGGCCAAAATAAGGCGACTCAAAATTATGAAGAAAATTGTGATCGGTCATAAGATAAAAGTTCGGTCAAATGTAGTTTCGGTGAAATAAAAAGTCTCTCACTTAAAAATTCCGCTAAGTAGAATTTCTGGAAAATTTTGTTTAATAAAAATTAGGTTGAATAGAAAATTTTTTGAATAAAAATTTTTTTTAAATAATAATTTTGTTTATTAGAAATTTTCTTAACTGATAATTCAGTTAATGAAAATACTGTTAAGTGAATATTCGGATAAATATAGAAATTTGATAAAAGAATAATTTTGATAAATAAAAATTATTTTTTATTAAAAGTTTTGCTAAACATAAATATGCTTCATAAAAGTTCAATTAAATTAGAATTTAGTTAAATAGAAATTTTTCAATATAAAAATTCAGCTCATTGCAAAATCCACTTTTTTAAAATTCTGTTAAATAAAAATTCAATAATATTTAATTCGTCACCACAATATTTTTTCGACAGATCAAATGAGGGGAATATGCGTCCCGAAAAATGCATGATTTTCATATATATGCGTTAATTTAATCACTTGATCACTTTTGTTTTTCACTTTTCACATAAAACACATTAATAATTTTGTGAAATTTTATTGAATTGCATATTTTTCACATTATTTTTTGTGATTTGTTTTATTTTTGAATTATTTCAATTATATAATTTGAAATTTCGATGATATATATTAAGAGGAGCTAGCCGCGATTTCCTGGTGGCTTACCATGATGACAGATGATTCGTACGACGGACAGTAAACACCTGAGGAGCTCAATGCTCTTCACTTTTGTATAAAGACACCTCGTGGACCAGTAAAGCAGCTAGAAAACGTGTCGCGCAAAAATAGAGCATCATGAGACGAAAAATGAAATATGTTATAAGTGCCACATGCACACCGGTTTGTGGTGGATGGCAAAGAAAACCTTGTCATTCCATGAAAACTGTTGCATATTCTGAAGATTTATCACCAGCCATGGCAATGAATAAAGCGCACACACAACAGTTTCAAATCTCGATATTCTTTTAAATTATCGTATATTTTAGACTTTCAGCTTGTGGGTTATATGTTATGTCATTTTCGTATAAATAAATATATATAAAATTATTTTTATTTTAATAAAATATATTATTTTAAAGTCATAAAATTATTTTTTAATAAAAAGATATATTAGATAGGCGTAATGACCTTAAATTATACACGCAGAGAAATTCGATTTCAAATATTATGGGCTTCAGTACGAGGAATTTAAATCTCATTCCTAAAGTAGTCTACCTATGGGATGCATGATTATGTTCTAAAAATCATTAGATACAATTTTCATTTTATGGAATTTCATTTGTTATAATTATTTTTGTGTCGAATTTTTATTTGTCCTATAATTAGTATTTTGTAGATTTTTCATCAAAACGATTTTCTATCCCAAATAGCACGTAAACTTGTAGCAACCTTACACTGCAATCTTTCGATAAGCTTACCATGCAAGCTTGGATCAGGTGGGACATTTGAAGCTTGCCGCAAGGTTGCTTCAAGCTTACGTGCTATCTGGGATATCAGAGAATTTTTATTTGTCAGAATTTTTATTTACTCGAATTTTCATTTAACATAATAGACATTTTAAAGAATTTTTATTCGGTAGAATTTCATTGCATAGAATTTTCTTTTAGAAGAATTTTTCATTATTATTTGTTATAATTTCCATATAACCGATTTTTCATACTACAGAATTTTTACTTAACCGAAAAATCATTTAACAGAATTTCTAATTGATAAAATTTTCATTATTTGTCCGAAATTAGAAATGTCCGAACAAACAATCGACAGAAACATTCGGCGCGATTTTTAAAATCAACAAATCAAAAACTATCCATAAAATTGTGATTGGTTGATTTTAAAAATCGCGCCGAAATCTTCCTGTTGATTGTTTGTTCGGACATTTCCAATTTCGGACAAATGAAAATTCTATCAATTAGAAATTCTGTTAAATGATTTTTCGGTTAAGTAAAAATTCTATAGTATGAAAAATCGGTTATATGGAAATTATATCAAATAATAATTCGAACAAATGAAAATTCTTCTAAAAGAAGAAATTCTACAATGAAATTCTACAGAATAAAATAAAAAAAAAAAAATTTTCGGTTATATAAAAATTCTGTAATATAGAAAATCGTTTTGATGAAAATTCTACAAAATACTAATTTGAAGAAATAAAAATTCGGCTCAAAAATAATTATGTATGACAAATGAAATTTCATAAAAATGAAAATTCTAACTAATGATTTTTAGAACATAATCATGCGTTCCGAAAATTTTGTTATTTTTTTTTTTAAACAAGAAATCAAAAAATATCTTTTAAAAGTAGGTTTCTTGGATGCGTTTCTAATTTCATTCGGTAATTTGTTCGAGAGTCGAGCGCCTCTGATAATAAATGACTTTTGCATCTTGCAAGTTCTATGTATTGGTAGATTTTTTATTAACAAAAAAAAAATTGAAAATAAAAAAAAAATCCAATTATTTTGAAAATTTTTTTCGAAAAATCATTTTTGGAATTTTTTAAATCTGCTTTTAATCTTTTAATATTTTAAATAACAATAAATTTACTCAAATTTAATACCAATTTAAAAAAAATTATTTATTTAAAGAAAATAAAAAGTCTTCGAGGATATTGAAAATTATGATAAAAAAGTTTAATTGTATATTTACAATCAAACAATTAAACTTGTATTTGTAATAATATAATTTTCTTTAATTTAATACTATTATATATTTTAATTTGTCGATTATTATCTTATCTACGAAATAATGAGGCAGTTAAGAAGAGTAATTAAAATCAAGATATATTGCATCAGATAAGTTAAAGTAGTGAGAAAATGAATAAATTAAGTCATGACATGATTAATTCAATTAAAATTACTTATTTTAATGCATAGGCTAAATTTATGGTATCGTACAAGATATTTTTGTAAATTTTCTTCAAAATTTTTTTCATATTATTAATTTACAAAAGATAAAAAAAATTATTATTATTAAAAAAATTTTTTTTCATTTGACTTAAAAAAAGCTCCATTTCTAAAGACGTATTAGACTTTAGAAAGACTTTTTTGCTGATAGCAAAAGTGGGTTACAATTTGAATGCGAGCAAAATTGGGATAAAAATATTGCGAGCAAAAATGGGTTAAAATATTTTAATTAATTAATCTATTTAGTAGAAATATTTATAATTTTATATAGCAATTTCAGTTTTAGAATATTTATTTAAATAATAATTGTAAAAGAAAAGTCATTAATAATCTCTTCCAAATAGATAAATTAATCAAAATATTTTACTCCGTTTTTGCTCGCAAGGCTTTTAAACCACTTTTACTCATTTATTCAAATTATAACCCATTTTTGCTATCAGCCCCTCTTTTGTATAGTAAATAATTAATTTTTAATTCATATTAATTTTTGTTCTAATTTAGTCAGATGGAGAAAATAAATAAGCAATGGTAAATTGAATTCTTGGCTCCGACATTTCTTCATATTTAATTGTTTCGTAATGCCAAGAAGTGGAACAAAATTTGATAAGTCATCATATTATTTCGTTGATAAAGATGAATTAATTTCATGCAACATTTTATAAACATGATTATATATATTTCAATATATTCTATACAATAAAAATTCCATACTTATTTTTAGAAAAATATTTTGTTTATAATCAACACTGCAATTAAATTAGTTATTTAATTGTAATTGAATTAATTAATTATTATAATTAATAATTTTAATTGATTGAATTAATTAATTATAATTAGATAATTAATTGTAACTTAATTAATTCATTTGCATATAATTTAATTAATTGTGAAATTGTAAATCATAATCTTGTAGGTCTTAATTAGTCTTATAACTTAATATTATAATGTCCGATTCCAGATGAGATTTTCACTTTTTCGGAGTAGGTTAACAAATTGCAATGAAACTTTGGAATTTTGTTATACATATAGTTCGACTAATTTTTAACGTAAATTGCAGCTTAAAATATTTGTTAGTTTACGAGATTTGCAATAATAACAAAAAATTTTAAACTGATATATCTTCCGTTATATTAATTGGATTAAATTCTACCTTTTTTTAAAATATCAAGGAACATGAGAGGAATAATAATCTCATTTAGAACAATTTTTTATAATTTTACAACTAAAAAAATTATTAAATAATAATTTGAATAAATTTTGTGCGCCAATCTAAAATTCATTTACTCAAACGTTAAAATGATTTTTAATGTATTTTCTTTAATGTTCCAAAGGAATCGAAGAACAGCGGTCAGTTTAACTTATTCAATTTTAATAAGTTCCGAGTATAAACAATTGCAATTTCTGCTGACTGGCTAAAAAAAAACACATAAGAAATAGAAAATTTAATCAAAAATAATTAATTTTAAAATTTTAACGTTCGATTTGCCATTTAAAATTTTAAAAAACTAACTTCAAATTTGTATACTCATCAATTCCAAAAACAGTGAAAATAGTAACTTGAAAATTGATAAATTCCTTGTATTCTTGGAATGATGAATTTTGGCCACTTATTATTATTATTATTATTATTATTTAGCCTATCAGTTTATAGGTTAAAATTTATTTTTAGAAATATGTTTCTTCTTTTTCTTCATCATCTATATAACTTTAATTTTTCATCTGTGAATGATTCTTTTTTTAGTACCGTTGAAAATTCGTATTACAACTTGTACCAAATAAACATTTCAAATAATAGTATAAAAAATTCATGACTTGGCATTCGAAACAAGAGGACACGAGAGCAATTTTGAAACAAAGATGGAATATAAAGATAAGAAAATTATTGTCGTTTAAATATAAAGTAGATATAATATGAGTTGAGAGTTAATATTGTATATATTAAAAAATATATATATATATAGTGTGTATAGGAAAATTGGTACAATGTTAATAATTTTCATTGTGATGGTTTATGAGACAAATCAACGGGTTCGTTTCATGGAAGATTTGCAGCGCGACACCTATTTGTGAAAATATTGTTGGTATTAGAGATGAGGACTTCCGTGCCAATTTTGAAAAAGAAAACTTGTGCCAAGTGACATCGTCTGGGTTACGACTCGTTAAGTGGGAACGCAGAGGTCCTTCGTAGGTGTGTTGGAATATATATATATATATATATTTCGGCATATGTACCTATATTATTTGAAATGGTACCATATCATATAGTGGATTTCACCCACGACAAAAATTGCATGTTCTCTCTCGTTCCGTTGTCGTCGTTCGTCGTCATGACGCGGTTGTCATCAGGCATATCTCGATTGTGTCTCCACTACGAGAATACTGAAAATTTATTATTACGCGATGCTCCGAAAATGCCGTCAATTAGGTAACTGTTGTGGCTCATCAGAATTTCTGGCAGAGCCGGATTTAGAAATTTCAATGTCCAGAGCATCACATTTCCTTCAACCCAACTAAAAGACAAGAATAAACGTCATACTTTTACCTTTATGGCCTTGAATAAATTTTAACGATGTTATTAGTGCCGAGAGGAATTGTCTCAAAAATAAACGCATATGCATTATAACTATCGTCAGTCACAATATCATATAATTAAATATATATACATATAGTTAAAGGATGTTTTCAAATATTTAAGATTATTCAACTATTTTAATCCATGTGTCTTATTCCAAATAATCCAAATTATTTCATATATACATATTTAGCTTCAAGTGCCTGTAAAAACTCTTAATTTCTGCTTATTCAAAATACACACACTTGTTCAAAAATTAATTAATCGAAAGATCATTTTGCAGAATTATGGACTAACAGGTTTTGAGCTATACGTAACAAAATCAATTTCAGATATTTGGAAAAATTTTCG